TTTTTTTCAGTTTTAAGTATTTTTTATGTTTAATTACATTTATATCAAAAATTGCTAGGAACTAAAGCAATTAAGGTAGATCTAGCTGTCCTTTACATCCATAAACGTTATATGTCAGTGGAACAAATGGAGTGAGCTTTGAGCGTCCCACGATTTTTGGAGACTGTCTATACGCGGGCTTCCTAAACAAGCCTATATGTATGTTTGTCCAAAAAAATTTTGGATGAAATACAAACCGCACAACTTCAAAATCGCATAAAAAAAATCCGCATAAAACGAGACCTTACAGTATTAACTTTTTAGATTAAAAAATTTTAATAATACCTCTCTATTTGTTCCATCTAAATTTATTCTTTCAATGCGATGTAGGAAAGAATCGCACCAGTATAATTTTTTATCTGCATAATCTAAACTTAAGCCATTGGGCCATTGTAAATTAGATACAAAAACTTCTCTATGTGTTCCGTCCATATATGCTCGTTCAATTTTTCCTTCAAATTGGTTTTCTGTATTAGAATGGGGTTCAGTAGACCAGTCAGACCAATACATGTATCTGAAAATAAATATATATACTTTCTTAGGACGTAATTTAATTCATGTTTCAATAATATAATTTTTAATTATTAACAGATAAAAGTTAAATGTCATAACTTCATATTAAGTTTTGAAGACATCTAAATAATTCTTAAAATACTTACATTACAATTAAGAATAAAATATATACAAGTATTAGACATACATTAATCAAAGAAAGTAATCAACGTTCAAAATTTACAAAATGAAACAATTCCAAATATTGAAATAATTAATACATATAAATATGACATATTCATATAATTTTGTGTAAGATTACAAATCAGCAGCAATTTCATTGTGAACTTATGGTATTTTGATGCAATTTTGGATTTTGTATGACAGGAAGTCATTAAGAAGAATGCTTTTGGAAATGGTTTAATAAAAAAAATGGGGCTTGGTTTTTTGACAAGAATTGATTTTGCAAGTAACAGATACAAATAAAATTTATTTTTGTGATTTGCAAAGGTTTGGTTTTTAAGTCACATAATAAGATGATAGCAGTATTATTTCGTGACCCTAACAATTTAAAAAAAAAAAAAACTATAATTTTTATGTGAAGGTGTCAATTTTGCATGTAATAGGATGAATGTTCTTTTATTTTCCTGGCTGTTACATATAACAGAGGAAAAGTATCGCAATCAGTCAAAAAAATGATCTCCCCTCCAAGATTTTTACATTTTTGGACTCAAGAAACCTTGAAACATTGAGAAATGCAAAAAGAATTGGGGTTTTCTGTATGAAGTGTATGTGTGAGGGGCACAATTTAGTCCACCCACTTTGAAGCTTAATAACTCCTGTGCCTTTGTTGAAAATTTCTGAAGTTTTTACAGGAAGATTTGTGTATTGAAAAGTTGAGGTTATATAATTTTGGTGGTTAAAAGACAAGGGAGTGGGAGATAGAGGAGTCATTTGTAGTATCTCAAGTGGAGTCAGACTTAATGAAAATTTTATTCATTATTGGCCTTTACAATTTTTTATAAAATTTATCTCTACATTCAAAATAAGCTTTTTGCCATTTTATAATAATAAAATAAAGTTTTAAAATAATTCAAACAATAGATGGCACCACATACAATTTTTAAATATTTCCAGGAAAGTTATGAATCTTGTTGCTGATTTTATTTTTTTACTGTGGTTTTGCTGATATGATTCTTGGATCATGTAGTGAGATCATAAGAGTATCATTATGTAATCCTATGTAATGCACTATACACCAACCAGTACATTTTGCTACACTTGTATTCTGAAAGAATGAGTTTCTGAAATATAACATGGCATTATGTTAGAAATGAGACAGTTCCAATAAGTAGCACAGCAGAACTATGTGAGTCTGTAAGTAAAAATTACAATGTTTATCTGATTGGATTGAAATAGTACTCTTATGTAAGTCAAAAAGAGTATGCTAATTTGTTTATAGTAGATAGCAGATAATGTAATAAGTCTTAGCTTAAATTTTTAAATCCAAAAATTTTGTAAATCCTTTTAGTGAGGGATCAAGGTACTGTAATTTGAGATAAACAAGTGTGATACAAAAAAATCTTCCTGTAAACATGTCCAGGATTTACTCATTCTGGAAGATTTTTTTCCAGTTTTGTAGTGTAGGTTTCATAATGTCAAGGAAGCCTATTGTATAGGGATAAGATAATTCAAGTTTCACTCATCAGAACACTTTTCCGGAAAGGTTCGGTCGGCGATTCATCCTGGACAAGTCAAGACAGGTATGCCAACTGAGGCAAACCTGATAGAAAGCTCAGCTCAGCTCCTGATTGGTCTGACAACAGATCTAAAAATTAGATATAAGGCAATGTGACCGTTGGAACAAAGAAAATAAGTCTAGCCTAAGACTGTGTTGTTAGAAGCAAGCAAGAGATATTGCTGTGTATTATATTGTAAATAGTCGTCAAATAAGCAGACTTAAACTGAGTTCAAGGAGTCGTAAGGTGTTCTTTTTGACAAACCGAAAATCAAAGGTACAATTCAAACTTTACTATCTGATAAGTCTAAATTCAGAATGTAAATTACTATTATTGGTCACATTGTTCATTTGGAATAAAATACTTGTTTGGATGGCATTAAGAGTTTATGGAAATTGGGCAGTAATGTTTTTATTCATTTTTACCTGTCCAAAATATAAACAAGTCTTAATAACTGACAACATCTCATATTTATAGTCATCACTAGTCATAAATAAATAATATAAGTATAAATAAACTACATAGTATGTACATTATGCACCAATAACAGACATTTTTGGCTACACTGCTCAACAATCACATCAGTCAAAAGAGTTTTTTTTGGTAATAATCATTTAATTTAAATTCTGTTTTAATGTTTGAAATGACTTCAAAACAACATTATGATGTAGCATTAAAATGAAGTTAATGTATGTGAAGAAGAATATTGAAATAGAGCTTCCAAACATTTCCTAATTCATGGTATCTGTATTGTTTTCTAACTTATTACTTAACAAAACTTAACAAAATTGATTATTTTCAAATTTTTCCATCTATAAAAAAATAATCTTAAAATTTTAATTTTAAAACTCATGAGCTAGATGTCTTACAATCAAAGAAACATAGTATATATTTATTTCACATAAAATTTGAATCTGTAACAACTTTCATAAATTCAAATAACAGTTAATTTTAAATTTTTTCTAGCTGTCCAAAATCTGTATTTTTCATTGAATTAATGAAATCAGTTTTCTGGGTTATCTTTATTAAATAAATTTATCATTACATTCACATTCCTTATGCCAGAATTTATTCTCAAAGTATGACATTATCTGACAGTTCTGAAATGAAAGAAGAGATAGCTGAATCATAGAATAGTATTTTGTTACATTACATTACAAATAAAATTTCTGAGGTAGAGTAACAGTTAGATGGTATGAAAAGAATCAGATTTAAATTTAATACTTTGATATGATGTGCCTAATACTTTTTTCATATATGTTATTTATACACTGGTGTGCAAAACTTAAGAAACAATTGTTTTTTTCCGTAACTCTGCAAGAAATCACCTGGGAGACATAACATTCAGAACACAGACTATATTTTGTACTTAAAGGATGAAAAAAGCATACTAGTGCAAAAAATGAGTAGAATGCATACAGTATGGAATTAAAGTCTTCTTTTTACTGTAGTCTTGCACTGTGTGTGCTGACTGCATGCATTTTCACCTGTGATGTCTTTTTCCTGCATATGAATTACCTTTCTACTGAAATGGGTGTTCGTTGTACTATCGCAACAAGCCCTTTTCTACAATTTCATGGCTGTCTGCTTAAAAATTACATTGTTGCTTAAGTTTTGCATGCCAGTGTATATCTTGTATTATAAAAATATATTATTCATATATAGTATGTTGTTNTTTTAAAATATTTTTTTAAAAATGTTTACGTTTTTATGAATTGACAAAAGATAGTTTCTTTGCCTTCAGGCAAGTTTTTCTATGAAACTTTTACAATTTAAGTCCTAGAAACATACAAAATTGACCATTTCATTAATGTAAAAATATAAATAAAATCCTTTTCGACGTTGTAAAAATTTCTCCAATACAACATAAATTTTAAATAAATTAAATATAATTTTCTGTCAAATATTTATAAATAAGGAACTTCAATATCAGATACCCAAAAGTCACTTAGCCATGATAAAATATATCCCGTGCTTAAAACAATCTTTAAAATCGGTTAACTGACTTTTTGGCCACTCTGTAAGTTAAACTAGAGACATATCATTGATTCCTATCAAATTTTTCCTTAAATATTTTTTAAATATAAATTATATTTAATTAAAAAATATTAATATTGTTTTTAATTAAATAACTTGTTTTAAGCAGAAACATATTAAACCGAGTATAGAGGAGGAGAATTTGGTGGCGAACTTTTAAAACTTCTTCGTTAAATTTGCCAATAAACCTAATATCGTCCATTTGAAATTATAAAATTTTATACTAAATTTATTACACTTTCATTATATTATTTTGAAAAAAGTTTATGGATCCCGAAATAACTTGAAATTTGAAACTTAGTACCCGATAATTTTGCTTTAATGATATTCTCTGCAACATTACAAACTTAAAGCAATTTCATCTTATAATGGTACATCTCTTACCATGCAATTAGACATTTATAGTTACTCTATCGCAACTTCTCTTCGAATTTACAACATTAAAATCTTGGCATTTCATTGTATACAGCATTAAAAGAACTCCTCCTTATCTTTTAAGCGGTGACAAAGAATCCAATTTTATCATTTTTCTTTCGATTTTACTATAATGATTTGATTAAAAGTTAATTTAACGATAAAATTTATTTATATTAAAAGAAAATCACAACTCATACTATACAAAAAATAATATTTTATAATTTAGTTTCCTCACCCTCGTTTTGGATCAACTACAATAGCTCGAGGATGTGACATATTTAAATGAACAATTCGTTTCCGAATTGTTGAATTACTCAGTCGAGCAACAAAAATTGCCAAAAGTCCTTCATCTGTCCAATACAGATTACGTCCCATCCAGTCTACAGCTAATCCTACACAATTGTTTAATCCTGAAAACATTTTTAAATGAATTTCATTATTTTATGTTAAAAAGATTTCATTCGAATTACTTCAAATACAAAAAATTTTTAATACTAAAATTAAAAATGACAGCCAAATAAATTTATAACTTAAATAAATTAGTTTTCATATTATATCCAATACATGTATAACTTATTCTGAAAAGGCTGAAAGTGATCTGCATTGCATTTATTAAGAATATTTTCTCCTAGCTTCCTCAAAATTATTCATTTTTTTCATCTTTGTTTAGTTTATTAATATCATTAATATTTCTAATTATAATAAATGTTTGCCAAATTATATCAACTCTAAAAAACAGTTTCTATTAAGATTAGAAATATTATGAAACTATTTCTATTGATTATGTTTCTATATCATCAAGAAAATTTTGTTCCTTTATGTAATTATTTCTTTTTCTAACATCAAAATAAATAAAACTGGCATTATTTTTAGATGTAAATTTAACATATCTGCTTACTAAGGCCATTGAAACCATTCTAATCTATAAATGTTTTCAGCCTTTCTTAGGTCATCTTAAACCAGTAAAGAACAGAATACATTTGAATCTACTTAGCATTAAATGAGAGAATGATGATATACAATATTATAATGTGATTATTTAAGTCTTTTCCCTTCCATCAAAACAACTATGGTAAACATATTAGCTAAAGACATAATTAAGCATTTTAATTTAGTAGTTAATATATATAAAAATATAACTGACTTTTGTAATTTAATCTTATTAAACTCTTGCTTGGACTACAATTTTTATAAGCAGCTGATATGTCTACAAATTCACCAGTTCTGAGGATTTAGCAGAAATGGTAATAAAATCAGTTGAGGACTCAATGATGGCTAACTATAAAGTTAATAATATTAAGTTAATTTATCAACATGTGAATGCTTACAATATGGTCTAATGGTAACTATGTTAAAGATTTTATAGAGTAAATCAATTTAGATGACACAGGAATCCAACTAGAGCAAATTAATTCAACATTATTTAATTATTTACATGTAACTTATTTTTAAATATGAAAATAAATATGCTAATAGACACTTCCACAACTGAGAAGTTATTGATTCGGATGTACTGTACATTGGAGGTCTTATGACTTCATGCCACATAAATTGGAACCTTTTCATATGTTAATTAAAAGGACTATTTCTCATCTGTCATCTATAAAGCTTAGGAATGAGGGATTAAACAAAGCTCAAGATAGTGATAAGTCCCATATCTTTCCAATAAATATACATGTCAAAATTCCCCCCCCCCCCACTGGGGGGAGAGATGAACAGGATTAAGGCTTACCGTGAAGAACTCTGCTTCTATTTATACTATTTTAGTTGTGGTTTTTTTTGTTTTTGATTGTGTTTTAATAGGATACGTCAAGAGAATACACACTAAGAAGGAATTTTTCGAAAAATTCCCCCCCCACAGGGAAATGTTATACATTTATAATAGATACATTTTGAGCCACAACAACACGTGGCGGGGTCTGCTAGTAGCTAAAATAAAAAGCTAATCAACAGCATCAAGATTTATGACAAATTCTAATTTAAGGATGTGTTTAACATTTTCATACTGTAATGCAATTTTTTACATTAAACAAAGATAAGATCAGTATCATAAGGACAAGACATTGAAATCAATTAATATTGATATTTCAAAATATTTTGTATATTGCAAAAACATAATAATATAAGAAAATATCACTGATCAAATCTATTGATATAACTAACATATACTGATATACAAATTTGATTAACTGTAAAAAATGTTTTATTTTAAATATTTTTTTAAAAAAATTTACTTTCTAAATTTTAACAAAACAGGTAAGTTGAAATATAATATTAAGTAGTAAAACAGTTTTTGGAAAAGGCCCAATTTGGCAATAGTAAGTAATGGCTTTAATAAAATTTGATTTGATTGATTTGAGTCTAATAATACAGATGACAAACAATTAATATTGGGTTGTTCGGAAAGTAAGTTCGTTTTTTTTCCGTGAAAAAAACCACAATAATTTTATAATAAATAAATATTTTATTGAATTATATATCGACCATTTTGGTCAAATATCTGGTAGTAGCATGATTTCACATTCATAAAAGTTTTGATTGTTGCTTACAAAAAACCAATCCAAGTGATTTTTGACATTGTCATTTCAAGTAAATGTCTTACAGTTAAAAAAAATTGTATAGACTGGAACAAGTAATAATCTGAGTGTGCTCAATCTGGCAAATATGGTTGGTGTTATAGAAACTGTTATAACTTAGATGGGATGTGCTGACGAGTTACCAAACTTGTGTGAAATTTGACATTATCGTGGTAAAACACTACACCTGGTTTTGTTGATCAATTCTGGCAGCCTTTTCTGTTTGATGATATTACTCAATTTGTTTACTTGATGGCAGTACACTTTCGAATCAACTGTTAAATTGTCTGGTAAAAGCTCCAAAAAAAAATCTTTCCTTAAAATCCTACCAAAGAGAGCATCTCTCTTTAAGAACATGTGGTACCCATATATCGAGCTTTGAAACGTAACCAATTTGTTTCAAGTAATTATAAACATTTCAATTTGACAAATTTAATCTCTTAATGATTTCACGTGTTGTTATTCGGCAGTTTGCTTCAATCAGTACCTTTATTTTGTTTTCATTGGCTTCAACTGGCCATCCAGAACATGGTGCATCTTCAATATTGAAATTGCCAGAACTAAATTTTGTAAACCATTTTTGGCACTGTCATTCTGTCATACATCTCCATACACGTCACACAATTTTTTTTCTTGCTTGAACAGCATTCTTACCTTTTCAGTAATAAAGAGCAAAATATGCTGAAAATGCTGGTTTTAATCTTCCATATTTGATGGGACACAAAAAATAAACAATTGCACAAAATCAAACAAAATTTTTTACAAATAAGCCTTAAAATGCTAGCTGTCAAAATATATATAATGATAATACGGTTTAGAATGAATTGGTGGGAAAAATACAACTAATCCATCTAGTGGTAAAAAAAAACGAAATTACTTTTCGAACAATCCAATATGTCAGTCTAATTACAGAAATATAAATATATATATTTTAGCACAAAATATATAATATATATTATAAATATATATGT